TTTAAATTTTGGAACCCTTGTAAAACTTTGGAATTTTGGAACAAATATGTAAAACTTTCAGATGGCCAATTACCGTTCAACTAAAAATTTTGGCACTGGAACTATAAGGTGGATGTATGCAGCATGATGGAGTATACAAAGATGAATTAAATAAATAAGTTCCTTAATGTAAATTTTTTGATGGCTTATAGTTTTCAAAGTTCTTAATTTTTCCTCTTGTAGCTGAGATCTGAAATAAATGGAGTAGGTATTATTAATATTTGATAGTAAAGGAAACAAGCTGTTTCTTGTAAGTAGAGTAAACAATTTCAGGGTTATCTTTTTATACTAAACTGGTATATCTACCCTCAAATAAAGTGAATGTTTGAAGAGATGGATTTTGTCTTCTTACATAAAACCCAACAAATTTAGTCTTTAAAAATCTTTCTTCGTTTTGACTTGTTTTATGAAAGTTGGTTCCACAATCTTATGAAAATTTTATAATTAGGTACATTACCAGTAGGTTGCTCTCATCTCTTTCTTGTTCTGATTAACAGATGATTTCTTCCCCCTAAATAAATCAGCTACCAAAAGAATGGAGCCATAGGGTATTTTACAATTTCTTTTATTTAGTACTTTATCAATGTTTATCTAGGGTTATAGAATTTCTGACTACCAGAATTTAAACAAATGATCAATGGTAATAGAATTAGAGCATACCAGTTTGGTTATAGTTGAGTCTTCATAGGTTTTCTGAATATCAACAATTACTTACTAAAGGTGATATTTTACCTACCCCTGAAAAATTCTGGATATAAATTATATTGTTATGAAAAGGTCCTGAAAATAATTTTGATCTTTTTTATTGGTTAAGTTTACCATTAACAAACTTTTTTTATTGTATGTAAAGGGCACAACATGATTTGATATAAATGGTGAAGTGATTATTTAAGTAAATTACTATATTCATTATCTCATGTAGTTACCTTTATGTATGTATTTCTTTTTGCTTAAATTCTTTTATAGGCACATTTTAGGGATACAATATGTTTACATTTATCATTGGGTGCTTGTACTGTTCATTATTTATCTTGGTTCTTATTTTTTCCCCATTACCTGTGCACCCTTCACCCCCTCCACACTTCCCTATTTATATTGACTTTGTTTCCATTTTTTTCTTTTCTCATAATTTTTCCATTCCCTTCTTTCCTTTCTCCTTCCCCTCCCACTTCCTCTACCCCTTTGGACCTTTTCTTCCTATTACAGATTATCAGTTATTCATTTTAAACATTTTAATCCTTATTTACACTTTCAGTTTCTCACACTGGAGAAACTATTCGGCATTTACACGTGTGTCCTATTTCACTTAAGAGTATAGCCTCAATATGCATCCATTTAGTTATAAATTTCTCTAGTTTCTCATTCTTTATGACTGAGTAGTACTACATTTTATAAAAAAAAAAAGCACACCTTCTTTATTCAGTTGCCAGTTGATGGGCACTTGGGCTGTTTCCAAGCTTTTAGCTATTACAAACTGTGCCTCTATGAACATGGGTGCACATATATCTCTGTGGTATGATTGTTTTAATTCTTTTGGGAAGATACCCAGCAGAGGAATAGCTGGGTCAAATGGGACCTCTAGCCCTAGTTCTTTTAGGTACTCCATACTGATTTCCACAGTGGTTGCACCAGTCTACACTCCCACCAACAATGGAGAAGAGTTCCTTTCTCCCCACACCACCGCCAGCATTTGTTATTGGTTGATTTCTTGATAGCAGCCATTCTTTGTGGAGTGAGGTGGAATCTCAGTGTTGTTTTCATCTGCATCTCTTGAATGACCAGTGATGTTGAACATTTTTTTCATTTGCTTATTTGCTGCTTTTACTTCTTTGTCTGAAAAATGTATGTTCCTTTCAGATGCCCATTTTTGAATTGGGTCTTTAAATTTGGGGGGTCTGATTTTTTCAGTTCTTTATATATTCTAGAGAGTAGTCCTTTGTCTGAGGTGCAGCTGCTAAAATTTTTTCCCCACATTGTAGGTTGTCTCCTATCTCTGGTGGTGGTTTCTCTTGCAGTGCAGAAGCTTTTTAATAAGATGAGATCCCAGTTGTTGATTCTTTGTGCTAGTTCCCGTGATACTGAGGTTTTGTTCATTAAGTCTTTTCCTATGCCAATGTCTTCAAGAGTTCTACCTAACTTATCTTCCAGCAAGTTTAGTGTTTCGGTCTTAATATTTAGATCTTTAATCCACTTTGATCTTCATTTAGTGCATAGTGATAGATATGGGTCTAGTTTTAATCTTTGGCAGGTTGAAATCCAGTTTTTCCAACACCCTTTATTAAATAGGCTACCTTTCCTCCAGTGAGGGTCGTTGACTCCTTTGTCAACTATGAGGTGGCTGAGTATGTTTGGAGTTGTTTCTGCATCTTCTAATCTATTCCATTTATCCTCAGGTCCGTTTCTTTGCCAGTACCATGCTATTTTTATCACAGTAGATTTGTAGTATAGTTTCAAGTTGGGGATTGTGATACCCCCAGTCATGTCTCTGTTATGTATGTATTTTTAAAGGTTATTTTTCTTTTTAAAAGTATATTTTTCTTCCTTTTATTTTTTATAAAATTATGAGGATTGCTTTGCCTTTCTGCTCCTATACAATCAAATGATTATTATGCTGAGTGTTTAGGAACACATAACCGAATGTGGTAATATCTGCATTGAGGAAGCTCATAGCCCAGTGGAAAAGAAAGACAAAACAATAAGATACAGTAGAATGATACTGTATGATGTAGCAGACATCCCTGACTAGTAGGGGCCTTCCGCATTCCCTCTAGTAAGGTGGCTGTCTGCTGGGCAAAGAGGTCTTTTTCATCTCGTAGATTTTCTTGTTAGGAGATTTTTAGGTTACTGTTGCTGAAAACTGAAAGACATATTGCATTCTAAAGCATAGGCATGTGTGGATTTTAATAAAAGGAAGAAGAGTCTTTGGACAAGCATTTTCATTTGGAAGACTTGCCTTGGTCCGGTGAAACTAATTAGATTACAGTTGTTTCCTAAATCTGAACTCTTAAAAAAAAACTGATGTCATTATCATTCATGCTCATAGTGATGATCTTAAAAATGCCAGGGACCTGAATTGCCTTCTTAACCATAAAGTTCTTGTATTGTATTCAATATAGGTCACAAGACTGTAGGGGACCTGAAAAGCCCTCCTAACAAATCCCCGTAGCTATGTGAGAAAAGTGAAGTACAGCATCATTTGCAGTTTGGCCAAGGCTGCTAACATTAGCATGGCAGATGTAGGAACAAAACTTAAAGTCTATTGATCCTTTTTCTAGTGTTCTTTCAATGCTCTTCAGAACGAGTAATTATTCTTAATATACATAGATGAAAACTCAGATAACCATAATATCAATTAGAGTATACAATATATTTTTTGGGGGGGATACATATATTCCAACAATACTTACAAATATGCCAAATTTTAATAGAATCCAAAAATTTCAGCTGTAATGCATATATGTATGCATTTTTTTTTGGCTCACTATCTTGCTATTCATGAACTATCCAGCTCAAATGACCCTCCTGCTGCAGCTTCTCCAATGTTGGGATTACAGGCACATGACCAGAATATCTGATTTATCTTTGCATTTAAAAAGTACATGATTTTAGTGCTCAGTGGTAAAATGCTTGCCTAGCACTGCATTTAATCTCCAGCACTGAAAAAAAAAAGAAAAAATATTCTTTTTTTTTTTTTTGGTGCTGAGGATCGAACTCGGGTCTGAGCTAAATCCCCGGCCCAAGAAAAAATACTCTTAAGCCCATTTCATTTAGGGAAGTTCACGTACAATAAATTTTATTTTTTAGAAACATACTTATAAATCACTGAGTTTTTAAAAGAATCTGGTGAAATCCTATTTTGATACGTAAGAAACACCCATTGATGTATTTTTAGAGTTGATAATTATTCTTTTCTATTTAAGTAGTGGGTCATAATATCCAAAACTACAATTCCTCTGCCAATATAACTCTCTTGAGAAAGTGAATGGCTGATTATCTATATGATGTGGAAGTTATTTTAGCTGCTATGAAGTCTGTCTAATTTGAGACCATACACTTGTCCAATTTGTCCACAACCACCATTGATTAATCAATTAATTGAAAAGTAAATCAGTTAGGATGAATCTTGACCAATTTAGATCAAGAACATTCTTACTCTCAGACAAGAATTAATATGGTATAATGGAAGCTGCAAAGACTTGTAGACTTTGTGATTAAGAACTCATATAAACAAATTGTCTCAGTTTTGTTCCATATATAGTGAGAAGATTGGATTAGATATCCTTTCTACCCCTGTAATTTTGTGATATGTGGTGCATTTGTAATTGCTACTATGCTGTCTTTAGTGAGTAGAATCACAATTAGTCATCGCAGCTGAGACTGTATCAAGAGGCAGAAACACTTCCTGGGTGGCTTCCTTTATGGATGACCCAGTTAGTCGGAAATCTTGCATATGATTTACATTTAAAATTTCAATAAAATTAGGGTCACGACGTAAAAACTTGTTTGGGCTCTGAAAATTTTATTTGTCTTTGCCAGTTTCGTTTGCATTGATGTGACTAATTGGACATTTAAATATTTAAAAGCGTATAGTCAAATACTGTTTGAAAGAGCTCTTGAAGTTTATATTTTTTGCCATTCCCTACAAGGTTTATTTAACTCGTCTTTCTCTGCCTCTACCTCTTAAGTCAAACTCTAGTGAAGGTCTTGACACAGTTGTTTACACTTGCATTTTATTGCTACCTTATTGGAAAGCTAAAATACAGATTTCATTTTACATGCCTCCCTTGACATGAAATAATATGGTAGGAAAGGTAGTGGTGGTGGTGTATCTACATGTTAAGTTAAAAAACAGAGAAATCGGAATATTATTAGCCTAAAAACATCTCTATGCTAGATTGAGGGAGTTGGAAATCATGATACTGAAACTAGATTTGAATATTGTTTGGATTTATTTTTTACAGGATGAAGGTATATTTAAAGAAATTCCTATTACTCATCATGTTAAGGAAGGATATGAGAAAGCAGATCCTGCACAGTTTGAACTGCTCAAAGTTCTTGGTCAAGGATCATTTGGAAAGGTAATGAATATGTTTTTCCATTTGTATTTTTCTTCTGAATAGTTAGCAAACAAATATATGCATATATAGATGTCTTACAAATGTGCCATTTTTAAACTTCCTAAAGAATTCACAAAAGGTAATTCTTTAATTTTATTCCTTTTTATATATTTTATTAGTATATGTTTGGAGTACATAGGATAACATTCATCATGAAGAGTTTGTACAAGTACATAACACATCATAATTCTGTTTTCATCCCCTTCCCCTCCACTTTCTCCATCTCTTGATCCCCTTCTCTTTTGTGAAAGTCTTATCTCTCTGTTTTCTATCTACTTTTTTATTTTACTCTTTAATTTTTATTTACATTTTGGTTTCTCATATAAAAGACCATGAGATGATTAAGATTCTGCATCTGACCTAATTTACTTAACATTATAGTTTCAATGTGCTTCCATTTTCCTACAAATGACTCAAATTTATCTTATTTTATGGCAGAGAAATACTCCATTGTGTATAAATACCACATTTTATTTATCCTTTCATCTGTTGATGGACATGTAGGCTATTCTAAAATACAGCTGTTATGAGTTGTGACTATTATAAACATGGATATGCATTTATCCCTGTAATACCATGTGTTTAAATCTTTTGGGAAAATATTTACAAGGGGAATATCTGGGTTATATGTAATTTCTATTGTTAGTTTTTTGAGGATTCTCCATGGTGACATCCATGTAGTTATACTAATTTACATTCCCACCAACAATGTAAAAGTGTTCCTTTTCTTCTGCAGCCTCACCGGTATTTATTATTTGCTTTTTTGATGATAGCCATGTTTTCTGGAGTAAGATAGAATCTCTGTGTTGTTTTAATTTGCTTTTGTCTAATGCCCAGAGATCTCAAAATTTGTTATGTGTTTATTGGCCATTGGTACTTCATCATAGAAGTGTCTATTTATCCATTTCTCAATATTTGATCAGACTTTTATTTTGGAGGGTCTAATTTTTTGAGTTATTTTTATATTCTAGATATTAGTCCTCTGTCTGAGGTGTTGCTGTCAAAATTCTTTTCCCATTCAGTATGTTGTTTTGTCAGTCTTCTTAGTTGTTTCTTTTGCTATCCAAAAGCTTTTTAATTTGATATGATACCATTTGTTCATTCTAAATGTTACTTGTTGTACCATTGGGGTTCTGTCAGAAAGACCTTGTTTCATTACTTGTCCTTGCCCATTATTTACTTCAAGAATTTCACTTAAAAAAAAATCTTCTACAGGGTTAAGTGTTTCTCTTTTAATAGGTAAGGCTTTGATCCATTTTTATTTTAGTGTAGTGTACAGTGAGAGATATGGGTCTTGCTTGAGTCATCTTGAAGCAGCATTTGCTATAGAGGCTGTCTTTCCTTCCAACATAGACTTTTGGCCCCTTTGTCAAAGATCAACGAGTTGGATGTGTCTGGGGTTGTTTTTACGGCCTCTGTTTTGTTTCATGGACCCACATGTCTGTTTTTGTGCCAGGACAGTGCTGTTTTTATCACTGTAGTTTTGTAATAGAACTTGAAATCTGGGATTGTGAGGCCTGCCACTTTTCTCTTGCTACCCAGGATTCCTTTTGCTATCCTGTGTCTATTCTGGTTTCATATGAACTTTAGGATTGTTTTCTGTAGTTCTGTGAGAACTGCTGTTGGTATTTTGATTGGGATTGCATTAATCATTTTGGAACTATGCCCATTTTAACCATATTGATTCTGCCTATCCAGGAACAGGGGATATATTCTATTTTCTGATATCTTCTTCGATCTTTTTCATAGTACTGTAGTTTTCTTTATAAAGGTCTTTCACTTCCTTGGTTAGGTTAATTTCTAAGTATTTAATTTTTCTTGATGCTATTGTGAATTTTTTTTCCTAATTTCTTTCTTGATGAGTTCATTATTGATGTACAGGAATTCTATTCATTTTTTTGTGCTGATTTTGTATCGTAGTACTTTGCTGAATTTGGTTATTCTAGGAGTTGTTGCAATTTTTTTGGGTCTGCTCTATAAAGTATCCTATCATTATAAATAAGAATAATTTGACCTCTTCCTTTCCTGTATGTATCCCTTTATTTTTCTTGCCTGATTGGTCTGGCTAATGTTTAGAGTACTATACTGAATAGGAGTGGTGACAGTGGACATGCTTATCTTGTTCCTGACCTTAGAGGGAACGTTTTCAGCTCTTTCGTATTTAATATGGTATTGGCAGTAGGTTTGTCATAAATGGCTTTTATCAGTTTGTGGTAAGGTTATTTTATGCATATTTTCTTCAGGGATTTTATCATGAATGTTTTGGATTTTGCAAATAACTTGGCTCTTGAGATGATCATATGATTTTTGTTCGTACTTCTATTTACGTGATATATTGCATTTTTTGATTTGCATATGTTGAACCATCGCTGCATCCCTGTGATGAAGCCTGCCTGGTCATAATGCATCATCTGTTTGATGATTCGTTACATTCTGTTTTCAGTATCTTGTTGAGGATTTTTGAGTTTTTGTTCATAAAGAGATTGGCTCACATATAGTTCTCTTTTTTAGTTGCATCCATGTCTTGTTTTGGAATCTGTTTAATGCTAACTTCCAGGAATGCTTTTGGGAGTATTCCTTCCCTTTCAATTTCCTTATAGGGTTTGAGGCATATTAACAGTATATCTTCACTGAAGTTCTTGTAAAATTGAATATTGAATCCATTGGGTGCTGTGATTTTCTTAGTTGGCAAATTTTTTTTATTACTGTCTCAATTTCACTGCCTGTTATTGGATTATCAGGGAATTTTATCTTCTGGATTCAATTTTGGTAATTCATATGTATCTAGGTCTCTGTCCATTCTTTAATTTATTGGATACAGTCTCTCAGAGTACTTACTAATAATCTGCTAGATTTTAGCTGTGTCCATTGTGATTTAGCCTTTTTCCTTTGTAATTGCATTGATTTGGGTCTTTTTCCCCTTCTTTTTGGAGAAGATTGGCTAAGTGTTTTTCTATTTTGTTTATTGTTTTGAAGAGTCAGCTTTTTGATTTATACTTTGTATTTTTTAGTCTCAATTTCATTAATTTTTGCTCTGATCTTTATTTCCTTCCTTGTACTAGCTTTGGATTTTGAGTGTTCTTATTTTTTTAAGTCCTTGAGGTCCACCATTAGGTTATTTATTTGGACTTGCTCTGTTCTTTTGATGTGGAATTCACAACTATAACATTCTTTCAGAAAAGTACTTTCATTCTGTCCTATATGCTCTCTTATGTTCTACTTGCATTATTGTTTGATCCTAGGAACTGTCTGATTTCTTCTGTGACCCACTGATTATTCAAGAGAGTATTGTTTAACTTCTATGTGCTTACATAATTTCTATGGTTACTTTTGCAGTTGATTTCTACTCTTAGTACTCTATGATCTCATAATATGCATGGAATAATTTTGATTCTTTTGCATTTACTTAAGCATGGGTTATGGGCTAGTATTTGTTTTGTATTGGAGAAAGTTACACGTGCTACTGAAAAGAATTTGTATTTTGTTGTTGTTGGGTAGAACACTCTGTAAATATCTATTAAGTCCATTTGTTTGAAGGTGTGGATCAAGTCTGATATTTCTTTGTTAAGTGACTGTGGTACTGAGGTCCCCCAATATAATTATCTTGATGTTTATTTGATCATTTATGTGCAGCAGCCTTTGTTTTATGAAGTTGGATGTGGCTGGGTTTGGTACATATATGTTTATAATTATCTTTTCCTCTTGAATTGTTCATTTTATCCATTATATAGTGATCTTTGTTGCTTCTTCTGATCAGTTTTGGTTTGAAGTTCCCTTTGTTTGAAAATACGATAGCTACTCCTGTGTGTTTTTGAGCTCCTATTACATGGGACATTGCTTTCCATCCTTTGATTTTTAGTTTATGAATTTCTGTTGGGATTAAATGTGTTAATTTTATACAGCATACAGTTAGGTTTTGTTTTTTGATCTACTCTGCCAATCTGACTTTTGATTGGATGATTGAGAACATTCATATTGAGAGTTATTACTGAAAGTTTTTGACTTATTTCTGTCATTGTATTATTTTCCTGTTGTTTATTCATTTCCCCCTCCTTCTGTTTAACTGTTCGCCTTGCCCAGTATCTTCTTCTAGAAGGCTAGACTTCCTGGCATTGTTGGCTTCATTTTCTCTTTCTAGAATATCCTTGAAAAATATTTGGAGTGCTAGCTTAGTTCTCTTTGTAATGATAATACCTTATACCTCCATGAATTTTGAAAGATAGTTTTACAGGATATATCAGTCTGTGTTGGAAGTTATATTCTTTTAGCATTTGCAACGCTTCACTAGGCTTTCCTGACCTGTAATGTTTATGTTGAGAAGTCTGCTATAATTTTAATGGATTTATCTTTATAAGTGATTCATTACTTTTCTCTTAACTGCTTTCTATGATTCTATGTGCTGGACTTCTGGCATTTTGACTATGATGTATCACTGACAAATTTTTTTCTTTTTTTGAGGGGGTTGGTTCTATATACCTCAGTGATCTGTGTATTAAATTCTTTACCCATATGTAGAACATTTGCTGCTATGATTTCTGTAAGCTGGTTTTTAATGCCATTTTTATTGTTTTCTGATTTTTCCCTAATTCCAATTAATATTAGTTTAGTCTTCTTTACAACACCTAACAGCTTTTGGATCCATTTTTCATGTTCTCTTGTTTTTAACATATCTCTGAGTACATAGTCGATGGCCTCAGCCCTATCTTCTAGTTCTCCCACACTGTTCTCACGTTGCTTACCTCTGCTGCCCAGACTTTCAATAGAATTTTTATCTGGATTTCTTTTTACTGCATTTTCACGGACTCTAATTTTTTGCTAAACTGGTCATTTATGTTTTGTATCATTTTGTTTAGCCCAAATAGTTTCTTATTAGTGTCTTCTATAAACTCATTGTTTTATTTATGAAATCTGTTCTCTGTTTATTTATATTGTCTTTGAATTTGTTGAGCACCTTATCTATT